TTCAGCACTATCCTCCTAATCTCAGTTAGTCCCCTTTGCATCAAATCTTCCCAGTCCATTGCTTATCTGACTCTAAGCCTTTCCCTACTCTATAGTCATAATGTGTGCACTAGGAAAATTCTAACAAAAGAGACCCTAAGTTTAACTTTCAGTTCTGCTACTGAATTGGTTAATCTGACCTTGGTCAAGTTATTTAATCTTCTTCAAACTCCAGTTTCCTTGTTTCTAAAATGGTGGTGTGTAGCAAGTACCTATCTCAGAAAATATTTGTAAAGAACTTTTTAAAGTTTATAGGAAAAACACTCAGCACATAGCAGGTACTCAACCAATGGTGGTTATATTTTCCTACCTCCTAGTGCTTCTGACATTTACTTTTTCAAGAATACATAAACCTTTATTATACCAATAAATAGCTGGACCAGCCAGGGTTGGGAGGGAAATACTCAAGTCTAAGCATTGAGGACGTGCACTTTTATCATTAGCTTTGTTTAAAAAACCAAAAGTGTAGGTATAGCTTTCAATCTTCTCCTCATTCCAATCCACTAGTCTTACTTCTCTCTCTTCCTATAGCATTGTTCTCTTAACCAAAACAATGTATTATTAATTATTCAGAAGTTTTTAAGAATCTGGTTAAACATTGTGAATACTCCTTCTTCACACAATAGTTGTCCTCTTCCTAAGGCAAATCTTTGTACCCTTTAACTATTCTATATTAACCTGGTTTCCAAATCCTTTGATAAACTTGATGTCAGTATTTGGAAGCATCTGAGTTTCTCAATACCATTGTTAAACTATATCAATACTCTTGTCATGTTTTATTTAGCCAGCACACACATAACGGAACAACTGCATCCCTTCATCTGAGCACCTCACAGATCTGAATCAAAGCCATCATACAATGCGTTGAGATTTTTTTTTAGCACCTACATCTTCACAGCAGCTCTTACTAAGTCTTCTACTCATGTAAACCATGTCAGGATAGATCCTTAGCAATTTTTTCAACTCCTTTTTAAAACTTAATGTATAATTTTACATTAATGTCTGCCTCTATTCATCTTACTTAATTCTCAGTTTTTAGCTTTCAAATTCTTTCTGAACCCACTGTAGTAGTTATGCTTTGATCAGCAGACCTTCTTTACCTTAAGCATGTTATTTTCCCTCCATCTAAATCACAGAGTAAATAAATGTTGAGTAGAATGAGGCCTAAGAAAGTATTACTGATTCTTACTAATTCTTTAGAGAACTACAATTCTGTTCTTATGTTCCTATTTCTTCAAAACCAGTTTCTCCTTTATGGATTTTCCCCTGATTTCTATGACACATGTAAGACTGATCATTTGTCTACCAGGACTACAAGAGTTTCAGAGTCAGAAGGGACTTCCCAGGATCATCTAGTTTCGCCCAACTCTCCTCTTTCTCACAAACTGAGGAAAGATTAGTTATATACTCTTGGTCACATGGCTAATAAGTGATATATCTAAGAGCAGAACTAAGGAATTCTAAATACAAATATATGATGTTCTTTCCATTGTAGGTTTTTTACTTAGATTTTTGTATTTTTATCTATTTATTTATATGAAAAACTATTGTTTTTTTTAAGTTATTCTCTGCTTTATCTAAAACAATGCACACTTTTTGTTCTCAAGGGTAGTCTGGCTACCACTAAAGGAGCACATATATCGTTTCATTCATTTTTCAAGTCCATTAAGGGAAAAGGTGGGTGAATAGCCTATTTCTAATAAGCTACAAAGCTAAATAAATATAAATTTTGGCTTGCTGCAGGCAGTGAAGAAAGGAATATTTTGGTCACAAATCTCACATCCTGACCCCTCAAGTCTACAAATGTATAAGTTAAGAATAATTTTCAACTTTCTAAGACTCAATAGAGAGAACGGTAATTTTATATTGTATTGATGGTATATATCAAATCACTGTATCAACGATCAATATATTCTTTTTATACCACTTCCAGTTGATTACAATCAAACTTAGATATGAAATCCACTGTATCATTGATAATCAATAACAACCACCATCTACCTCCCCACCAGAATGGAAGTTCTGTGAGAGTCAGTGTTAATTTTTCATTCTGTAAGTTTTGTCTGGCTTGCAGTAGGTAGGCTCTCAATAAAAATGTTGATAAACAAATGAATGAAAAAATAGGCTCTTCAAAAGAAAAACTAACCCCCAAAAATGAATTTAAAATTTTAACAACTCTTCAGAAAGTAAACAAAAAAGATATGTTCCAGAAGGATTCACTTTGCCACCAAAGTTAACCAAAGAAACAAACAAGTCTGAGGGGCTTCAGCATGGTGGAACAGAAAGATGCAGAGCTCACCCTCTCCCACAAATACATCAAAAATACAATTGTTCTGTGGAACAATTCTCACAGAATACCTACTGAACTGTGGCAGAAGATCTTATAGAAGTGAAGCTGTAAGAAAAATTTCCATGTAACCAGGTAGGACAAAAAAATAAATAAATAATAATTGGGACAGGACCTGCACTATGGGGAGGGAGCAATGAAACAGTGCCCTCATCCTGGGAAGCCGTTCACCAGTGGGGAGATCAGCCAGGAGAGAAGGGGAGCTTCAGAGGCTCAGAGAGCTCAGTAGCTGCTTTGCAGCAGATAGAACAAAGAGAAACCGGCACCGAGGGTCCAGGCAGTCCCCAGCCCAGGATGCAGGGCTGCTGAAGCTCGAGCTTCAGAGGACAGATCTGGAAAGAGGAATGGGTTGGCTGTGTGGAGACAGTCAGAGGGGGCTGGAGCGTGGTATGGGCTAAGGCTGTGAGTGTGTATAAACAAGCCTGGGTCCACCATAAAAAACACCATTGTTGGTGTGTATAAAGGGAGGGGCAGGACCCTGCCATAGCAGTGTCCTCATTGGCTTGCTCTGTAAGTGCAGTCACTGGTGGGTTTCCCCCAGCTGAAATCTGAGCCCATTTCAAGGGGCTGTGTGACATCGGAAATTGGGCTGAAATATGAGCTGGGTCCCGGGCAGCTTTGACTGATTTGTACCACAAATGCCTTTGTATACACAGCACTGAGGGACATCCTGAGCAGAATACTGGTGCAATGGCTGGGGTGGATCCAGCGTTAACACATGCCTGCACACCCAGAGCAGGGGATGGGGTCTGGGCTGACCCTGTAGCCCACAGTGGATCCAGGAGCGTGACTACACACAACTACAGTGGGTCCTAGTGCCTGACTTCAACAGACCTGCCCTGGTAATTTTGTGAGCACGGCAGCTGAAGGATACCAGGGCCTACACAGACTATTTCACCAATGAAGATATATAGATGGCAAATAGCCACATGAAAAAAATGCTCAATATTGCTAATTATCAGGAAAACTGTAAATCAAAACTACAATGAGGTTATCATCTCACATCGGTCAGAATGGTCATCATTAAAAAGTCCACAAACAATAAATGTTGGAAAGGGTGTGGAGAAAAAGGAACCCTCCTACAGTGTTGGTAGGAATGTAATTTGGTGCAGCCACCATAGAAAACAGTATGGAGATTCCTTTAAAAAGTAAAAGTAGACTTACCATGTGATACAGCAACCCCATTCCTGGGCATATATGAAGAGAAAACTCCAATTCGAAAAGATACATGTACCCTAATGTTTATAGCAACACTATTTACAATAGCCAAGACATGGAAGCAACCTAAGTGTCCATCGACGGATGATTTGATAAAGAAGTTGTGGTATACACATACAAAGTAATACTACTCAGTCATAAAAAAGAGTGAAATAATGCCATTTGCAGCAACATGGATGGAACTAGAGATTATCATACTAACCGAAGTCAGACAAAGAAAGACAGATGTATCACTTATATGTCTTTAAAAATGACACAAATGAACATATTTACAAAACAGAAACAGATGTAAAAACATAGAAAACAAATTTATGGGAAAGTGGGGGTAGGGATAAATTAAGAGTTTGGGACTAGCAGATACAAACTACTATATACAGAACAGATAAACAACAAGGTCCCAAGCATAACAAAGGAAACTATACTCAATAGCTTTTAAGTACAATGAAAAAGAATATGCTGTACACCAGAAACTAACACAACATTGTAAATCAACTATACTTTAGTTTTTTAAAAAAGAGTCTTAATCTCAGTATTTTTAAAAAAGAGTCTCAATTCCAACATTCCTTTTCAATAAAGTGCTTGCTCCCTTTACATTCTGCCCTTTCCTGGACATCTCTCGACAGGTTACTCTGCTTCCTCAGACTCCTTATGCAGAATTCCTGTGCACAATTTCTCTGCTCATTTTTCTAGAACCACTGAGCAATTGTTCAAGGAGATCAAATCAATTTCACTGTCATAAGAGCATAAAAGGCCCATCAGTATATATACAGATTAGGCTCTTATTAGCAATAGTATTACTTTATGACCCAAACTCAAAACCAATCCAAGAATTCACTATTTTTTTCAGTATTTTCATATTTTTTGTATGCAGTTTGTGCTCACAACTCATTTCAAAATGCCAAATCTCACATTTACCAAAATAGCAATTTCTTGCAATCTGATATAAGTCAAAGCATTCTCTTTACTGGTGCTTTTATTAAACATTATCTTGTACAATGGTCCTCTGAAATCTAAGTAAAAAGCACTAAAAACAGTATCATGTTACTTCAAATATTGAGGGTGAAGGAATCTGCTCACTTTATCTTTTTTCTCATATTTTTAAAGTTTACAATTTAATTCACTTCAAATACCAATGCTAAGTTCAAAGAACTAATTGCAACAAACTCGATTATTTATATCCTCTTCTTATTTGTAACTTAAACACCGATACGAAAACATTTTTAAACTATTTTACTTATCAAGTCAAAGCTATTACTATTTGATGTATCACCAATCACTTAGCTTGTTTCATAAACAACATAAAGCACCAGTCTTTATAAATCCACCATGTTCTCTCCATATAGTTTTCCTTTAAATTCATAAAGGTGAAACAGATTTAATAAACAGATTAACTTACTGAAAAAATCTTTAAAGACGTTTAGCCAATCCATTCTGAAAAAAAATCCCGTGTTCTCTTTTGTCAGTTTGTTAACTCAGCTCAGGATAATTCGCAATGAATTTCCTGGTTCTGCAACACTGAAACTCCCCACACCCAATCCATGTGACTTGGCCCACACCCAGGCAACAGAAAGTTTTCCTGAGGCTTCTCTCTTTTCAAAACATTTTTGCCGTGAACTCTAACAGAACCTATAAAACAAGTATATCATGATGGCCACAAATATGACCTTTATTATTCAGACTTATTTTGAAAGAAGCTTTTAAGTATATATTTTTTTTCAATAGTTGAAAATATAGTCATGTATTCATTCTTCCCTTTGTTTTCTCCTTTTCTTTCTTAATCTTCAAATAATGTCTCCACCAGCACAATCACTGTGGAAAAAATCCATTAATTATATGGAACAATTAAGTTACAAAAATGGGATTAAGAAATTCTGAGAAAGGAGACAAAGAGTGTCTGATGCAAAAGATGGATTTATACCAGTATACAGGTTAACCATATACGCCACTACCTTAAAACAGAATGTTTCCAAGTACCCTGGAAAACAGCAATAACTAATATAGTAATAAAACTAACAAAGCCTAGGACTTAAATAGATATAGTCTAGCTAAAATCATCTCAATAATATCAGAAAATAGTACAGGTTTCCCAGGAGTACTGACAAATCATAGAAATTGTACCTCATTAGGCTTTTAAAATTTATATGCAGTCATATCTAAAACTGGGATTTTTTTTCCTCTTTGCTCTACGATACTAGTTTTTCACTATCTTTTGTTAATTACTGTCATATCTGCTTTAGTCCCAGGACATCACTATCTTTTTAAAAAGGAACATGATAGTTTATCTAGGTGTGGCCCTAGCCCTTTCTGTACCTTCATCACTATGAGACATATTTTCTTGATAGAAGTTATCTTAATTTTCCCCAACACCTCTAATTAACATGCATTAAATAAATGTCTAGTATATACAAAATCAGAAGTATTCCTGATTCTAATTTTGGCTCTTCAGCTATTCAAGGACAATTTCTTTCTGACTGTCTTCCATTTCATAAGTGTACTGTTTTCCATTTAAAAACTAGTATTAAAACCTAATAATAGTGGCCTTATTTGTAAAACCTTAAAATCTCAGAAAAGGTAGCCCTAGTTAAAGCAGTTAAGTATAATGGTGAAAATTCAGATTAATAACTCCATTTATTAAATTACTTTTAGAATACTAGAAATGTTTTTTAGCTCAGAAATTGATATTCCATATTTTATATCTTACTTTGAATTGTACTGTGTTTTAGTTTTTACTGTTTACAATGGGTAAAGACATAGAACTGTCTTCTATTACTGGTAATTGAAAGAATGTTCTAGTACAGAATAACAATACCTCTGAATAAGAAATAAAAACTAATGTAAAGCAGTTAATAATATTTTATATTTGTCAATCATGCCACATTACTCCCAAACTATCTTTTTGCAAGGAGAAATTCTACCTTTTCTCCTACATACATACAAAGAACTATTAAGTAACAGCATGCTTGCCCAAATACCTGAGGGAAATTCTGTCCCTCCCAATTCCTTCCTGTTAGCCAAGGAGAATTTAAAAAAGAAAAAAGGCTAGCTCTCATCTGTGCATATTTCCTTCCTATCACAGCAGCTTGGCCAAGCCCAGTGTAGAGTAGGTTCCCTTATCTCTGGCCCTAATAGAGGGCCAGGAAAAACAAACAAAATTTAAAGTTAGGGGAATAAAGAAGAGGAAAAATGAGAAAATAAAAAAAGAGATCAGCTTTGTAGATGCTAATCTATAGTAATGTTCCACAATTTAAAACTCTTCTGTCAAATATAAGAATAAAATGATGGTTTATTTTAAAAGCAAAGTTCAAAATGTAAGCCATTAGAGCAAAATAAGCCATTAGAGTAAGACAGAGCAATGTATCATGTAAAATAAACTGTCTTAAGGACAAGGAGGATACTCTTCATCTCACTCATTTATTCCCATCTCAATTCAATGCAGAATCTGCCTGAACTCCAACAGGCACTCATGGTTCCAGGAGCCCCTGTCAGAAGAGCAGAATCATTTCCACTATCAGCATCACTCTGGCTTGACTCATGAACTCTGGCCAGACCCACCAACTAGATTTACAGAAACTGACCTTCACTAGTCTCCTGACTTGAACACATGCTATGAGCCAAACTTACCTTGCCTAGCTGAAATCCCAGCCCTGGCCTTTTCTAGTCAATTCTGCCCACTCCTGCCAAAATTCTGTACAAAGAACCAAGCTCTACCATCCATTTTTAAAAAAGCATTGTTGTTCTTGTTTTAATACAAAAATAACTTACCTAAGGTATCTTTTAGGTTTTTTACAATAGATGCTTTTCGGGCACTGTTTTTCCTTTCCACATAGTTAGAAGGCACAAAACCCGTTTTATTCATGGAATTTCGAACTCGCCACCAGGACTTAGAATCATCCAGAAGCCATAATCTCTCATTCTTCTTGATATCCAGCTCTTGTTCTTGTTGGGCCACATAATCAAATTTGGCTACTACCACCACTTCTTCTGCCATTTTCAGCAGCTTCTGCACTCTAAGCACATAGAAAACATTTCATATAAGGTTTAACTAGTAGTAGTCTACACACTTTCCAAAAGAGACACATCTAAGAACACTGAAAGACTGAAAATAAAAACATGAAAAAAACTAAAATACCAGGCACATGCTAATCAATACAAAATTGGTGTAGTTAATATTAACACACAAAAGGACTGTAAGGCAAAACTATTACTAGTAACAAAGAAATTCGCATATCATGATAAAAAGTTTTTATTCAATATATATATTGAATAAAATATTATAACAGCTAAACTTACATGTACTATTAATGTAGCTCCAAAATAAATCGACAGAACCACCAAGAAAAATAAGCAAATCCATTGTCTTCAGAGGACAACTTTTAACATATTTATCTCAGTAATAAATCAAGGAGACAAAAAATTAGTAAAGCTAAAGAAAAACTGACATCATAACCATTAAGTCTGATGTAATAAACATATACAAGTATTACTTCCAAACAGAAGAATACAAACAGAACATATACAAAAGTTGACCAAATGCTAGCACATAAAAGAGTCTCTTACATTTTTCACTTGGTATCCTACAACCACATTCTCTGACAGTCATAACAAAAAGATAGTTTTAAACCTTATATATTTAGAAACTTCTAAAAACTCATGAGCCAAAGATGAAATCATAATAGAATTTTGAAAATACTTGTAAGTAAAATAATAAAATGACTACAGCATTGTGGGATGCAGCAAAAGAGTGTATAAAAGGAGACTCTTAGTTCTAAACAGTTACCTCAAAAAAATAAGAAAAGCTAAAAATAAGTAATGAACAGATTATCTGTCTTCAGCTAGAAAAGTTGAAGAATATAAAGTAGATAAAAGGAAATAATACAAATAAAAGCAGAATTTAATGAAACAGAAAACAAAGATATAGAAGAAAGGCTCAACAAAAGGTAGTTACACCAGGAATAAAAAGGGAATTATAATTACAGATGCTACAGACACTCCAAAGACATAGCAATATTAAAAACTTTATCAATAAATCTGAGAATAAGTAAAATGTACAAATTTATAGAAAATTAAAATAACAAAAGTAATAAAACTGAATCCGTCATTAAGAAATCTTCCCATAATGAAAACACCAGGGCCAGATGGTTTTACAGGCAAGTTCTATTAAAATTCAAGGAACAAATAATTCCAATTTAAACAAACACTTTAAGAACAAAGAAAGGAAATGCTAAAAGCCTAACTCACTCCTGAACCTAGATTAGCTCTCTGCTTTCTTCAGAGAGATTATTTTACATAAATAGCTACCCCTGGTTCAGCAAACAAATAAAATCAGTTTCTGGTTTTGGATAATGAATAGCATTCTGCTTTCTTAACAATGAAGCAAATTCTTCAATGTACTCAGAGAAATGCATTTAATCTAGAATTCAAAAACCCCTAGCATTCAAGTGTAGATATTGTATCTACAAGGTAGATACTTTTGGGAGGAGGGGGCAAATTGCAAGGCCTCAAAACCTACCACATAGTCTTCTAAAGGAATGACTCAAGTATGTACAGCAGCAAAATTAATAATGCTTAAAAAAAAGAGGATGCTCTGGTATTCAAGTATTGACAAACAGAGAAAAATCAGAAAAGTTAATTTGTATTCTTGCAACTTTTCTGTTTGAAATTACTTCCAAATAAAAAGTTACAACTCAAGTCTAACTAGCTTCAAACGTGTATTTTGGTTAACGAAAGCCTTCCCTACATAGTAGAATCATTTATGGAGCTTTTATAAAAATACAGGAGCTTAGGCCTTTACTTCAGAGCTTCTCATCAGGAATTAGTATTTTTAGGAATTAGTAATTCACTCAGGAATTAGTGTTTTCAAAAGCCACCCAGCCTAGCAAGTCAAAACTTTTAGACAATAAACACTCTACTGCAAACACTACAGAAAAACTGGCCCCACCCATACCAAAAAAAGCTAAGAAAGAAACCTGGACTTCTCCCCTTAAGAGGCTATATGGGGCACTCCAACATCCCTGCCTGGTGGTGTAAGTAAAGACCAACTAAGAAGCCAGAACTTTCATTACCCACCAGCCAGACAGAAAATCAGCAAGGATGTAAAGGAAACCAATAACACATTCAACCAACAGGATCTAGCCAACATTTACAGAATATTCCACTGAACAATAGCAAAATATACAAGTTTTTCAAGTGCTCATGGAATAAATACCAAGAAAGACCATATCCCGAGCCATAAAATAGATATCAACAAATTTGAAATAACTGATCATATAATGTGTTCTACAATAAAATAAAACTAGAAATCAGTAACAGAAAGATAAGAGAAAAACCTCCAAATATTTGGAATATACTTCTAAATAATCCATGGGTCAAAAAAGTCTCAAGGAAAATCAAACATAACACTGAAGTGAAAGTGAAAATAAAACCTATCAAAATTCATGTGACACAGATCAATCTGCAAAAATCAACTGTATTTCTATATACGAGCAATGAACATATAGACAACAAAATTAAAAGCAATACCATTGAATAATAAAAGGAAAAAAATGAAATTAGTGTG